GTAACCCGAAAAGTTCATTAACAGAGGCATTCGTAACCCGAGGCGGAGTTCGCAAACCAAGGTAAATTTTTGCGGCCAGAGCTGGTCGTAACCCGAAAAGTTCATTAACAGAGGCATTCGTAACCCGAGGCGGAGTTCGCAAACCAAGGTAAATTTTTGCGGCCAGAGCTGGTCGTAACCCGAAAAGTTCATTAACAGAGGCATTCGTAACCCGAGGTTCCACTGTATACAAACTACTAAGGCTTTTAAAGGAAACGTTACAGTAATTGTCTATTTTTGAAGTTTAATGAAATAAAAATAACATATTCCAAAGAGAGAAAGAATGTAAGTACCTTTAATTGCTGCGAGCCACCCAGTCATGTATTTGAGTTGGGCGGCTGTATAAATTGAATTAACTAATTAATCAGTTAATTACACCTACCCTGCCTGAGGCTGAGCAAGGAGAAAGCCACACCAGTTACGGAACAGACATGGGACAGGTACAATACGCGTGGGTGAGGGCAGAGCCAGGAGAGTCTATAGCAGTGTTTTTCATCCTCAACAACTTTAAGAGGTGTGGACTTCAACTCCCACAATTCCTCAGCCAACATCTTGGCTGGGGAATTCTGGGAGTTGAGGTCCACACCTCTTAAAGTTGCTGAGATTGAGAAACACTGGTCTACAGCAACAAAATTGACGTGGAATCTGGTAGCGTCTCCATGCGAAACCAACTTTATTAATGCATTAACTTTGCTCAGCAGCTCACAAAAGCTTATGCCTTAATATAGTGGGTGCCCTTGAAAGTGAATGGTCGAACAAGGATATCAATCCAACCCATTCCTGGTAACCAAACTTCATGCCAGAAATAGAGACCGAAGACTATGAGAAATGAAACCCTTTTAAAGCCCCACCAATATTTCCTTTGAGACCCCTACGGGAGGGCAGCGTCTGAGAATAAATGATATTTATTCTCGTACCATAACATGAAATTGGAAGGAGAAGCACTTTGAGTGACTAAGTAACTCTGTGCCTGGTTTTCCTGAACATAAACAGAGGGAAGAGGATCAGACTGAAAGATTTCCTCCTTGCCAAAAGCTGATGATGATTTGGGGCTGAGACGGGGAAGGGAAGATTGCCAGACAGAAAAAAACTATACAGTATCTCAAAAAAGAACCAGAACACTTGGGAGATTCCACTGATTGGCAGATCCTGCTTCTTTTAGTCATCCTCTTCCTACAGAAGGGAAGACTACCCACCCGTGTGCTTCTACACACGTGCACACTCACTCACACGTTCAAAGAAAAGCCAAAGCGGCAGTCCAACTCATTGCCAATTTTGCCACGTGCCCCAAAAGCTGCTTTATTATCAGCTTGGATTTACGATTATTTTTAATCAAAGTTCAATTAAAATATCTTCTCTAGAGGACACTGTGGGGGTGGGGGAATCTTTTTCAGCTGGGTCCTCCCATCTAGACATGCTGAAAATGAGTTTCCCCAGGAGGAAAGAATATAACATCTCATATTTAAGAATTATTGTGAATTTAGGAAGCAGCATTAGAGTGAAAATATGGGCCAAATGGTAAATAGATCAGCAATATCTCCCAGCAGGAAAAAAAGCAGGTTTGCTAACGCTACAGAGAAGTATGTCTCTTAATGGGGGAATAATATTCAGCTTTTCATTGTATTTCAGGGAATCTTTTAATTAAAAAAAATAGGTTGCATTGATAAGTATCAGTAGAATTTAATTATGCCACCATTTGATTATGTCAGTGTGTGTATGTGTGTGTGTGTGTTATGTATCACGTGTTTTGTTATAATTGGAAGTGAGTAAAAATGCTATATCTATGGATGGTTAGAACAGCTGATATTAACCATCCGTAAAAATTGCATTTTTTAAAACTAACTTCTACATTAAGGTCCCATTGTTTTCTTTTATTCTTAGCCCTCCTTGAGAAAGGAAAAATGTGTAGGGGGGAACAGAACCCAGCCCTCATCAAAACATGGCAACCCCACACCAGAAATCTTTCTCAAAGTACTCTTTCTCCAAGACATTTAGAGGTCCAAGTCTTCTGCTGTTGCTGCTGCTGGCTGGAAAGCCATCACTAGCACTGAGAGACATCACTGGTCTTCCTACAAATTGCAGAGGGTTGAACTAGATGATCCTTGTGAATCCTTCCAACTCTACAATTCTATGATTCTAAGATCAGACAACTTCTCTACTTAGACCAACGTTATTTGAGAAACAGGAGGTCATCTGAATTTTGGTCTCTCAGACTGCAACCTGAAGACTTCTTTCACTGGAAGCATGGAGACAGAACCAAAAGAAGGGTTGAGGCCAAGAAATCAGACAGATAGTCCTTTCTATCACATGCTGATATATGAAATCCTAAACTGTTAAGATGTGGGTCTAAGGAAGCCACAGACTGCATAACCTATTCCCAGAACACGGGGAAGGTTATGCATACACCACTTATGGATTCCAACCTTCATCAGTGAGGGTTCCAACGGGAAGGTAGGTGGGCAATGGATACCCAGCCAGCTGCACTTTTACTCTAGAGGTGTACATGGTAAATCCATAGGATACCTCCTCTTTCTAAGACTGGGTGGGGAATTCTGGGAGTTGAAGTCCATGTATCTTAAAGTTGCCAAGGTTGAGAAACACTACCTTAAGGTCTTTTGGCTTGGTTTCACCCGATTTGAGATCACCCATCAAGAAAGTTAACTTTGAAGGTGGCACATTGCTTGGAGAAATGACTTGCTCATGATAAAATGGAACAGAAAAGGATTGCTCAAGCAGAATATTTCTTTCAACACCTTTCCCTCCCTTGGTGTATTCTAGAAGTACTCAACCACAATTCCTAGCCAGCGCAGCCAATGATAATGGGGGCTGTAGTCTAAGACAGAGACAAAATTCCAGGTTGAAGAATCATAGTATCTGGAATCACAGAATGAAAGACTTGAACCCTCTCCAGGCACCTTGATTCACCCAACGTAACCTGTGCCTAGTGCAGGAATCTAATACAACTGCCCTTTGATTGATGTCACTTGATGAAGAAGATGGGCAGGAACTGGGTTGGGTTTGAAAAAAGAACAGCTGGTAAGAGGTTGAAGCAGACACTCCGCCTGCATCACACAGCCAGATTAAATTTATAAGACCATTGGGATATCAAAGTATATTTAAAATGTGGTTCTGCTAATGTGATAATATTGTGTTTTGTCTTTGCACATAAACTTATTTTTACACGTGGATAACCCCTGATGGGTCACAGGGCACCACCTTTGGCTGAAGACATTGGGAATCCTCTTTAAATCCAGCCCACTGGTGCCCCAGCGCTCAATTTTCCTTTCAACAAGACAGAGATGTCAGACATCTGTAAACAGGACACAGTACAATGTGGACTCCAGTCGGACCCCTTTTTCCATAAACAACAGCTCACCTACCGTCAGTGAAGTCCAAAGCGTACACTGGAAATCTTCGTGCAATGTCATCAAAAATTCCTTTGCCAACATTGAAGAACTCGTGGAGCTAAAGAAAGGAAGGAAATGTTATTTCAGTTCAAAAATGCTCATCTATTGTTGAAGGAAAGAGAGAGCAGGCCTTCTCCAGCCAGACGGGAAAGCCAGCGGCCTGACTGAATTCAGAGAAACGATGGCAGAGCACACTATGCTTGGAAGAACTTAGACGGTGAGTGACCGGAGTCCCCAGACAGCCATCAAATCTCAAGATGCGCCAAAAGGCAAGGTTGGTCTTGCTGCCCAAATCCATCAAAACCACCGTCAGCATGGGTCAAGTTAATTTTGCTTTCTGTTATTTGTTGTCCAGCTCCCGCCTCTCTGTCTACAAGGGTCTCTATCACTGAACTTTCAACCAACCTGGTCCTCCAGGTGAGGTTATGCAGCAGTCTCAGAATCAAACATATAGATGCTTCCTAAGTTTTTAGATGTAATTTGAGACACAGAGGAAGTAATTATCAACAGAGACTACCCCAAGTACTTTTTTGCTCCCCAACTACTGAAAGCTCAGCAGACTGAAGACAAAGTTAATTTAATTTTGAGAGAGAGAGAGAGAGAGAGAGGGAGAGGGAGAGGGAGAGGGAGGAGGAGGAAGACAAGGCTGAATATGACTTTTTGGTGGCCTCAATTCATGACACCATATGAGTGTGGGTTAACCACCACCATTTAAGCTGCAGCAGCTGAGAAGAAATGCAGTGCAAACTGAGCATTCAGGAAGAGAAGCTCCAAATTTGGGTAACAGCTCTGCCGACCCAGAGACACATAGTTGGGCAACTACCTGGAGAAGTATGCATGTTCCTGTATAGGTTCACACTTCCTTGAACTTCTTAGGAAAACACCTGTAACTCTTCTAAGAGCACCTCATGATACATGGCTGCATTTCATTAACCTGAAGCAAGGCATCAGCTTCCCCCCTACCCCTATACCTTAAGAGGCTTGGGACTATGAGTTTTGTGGTCATCAGTCACTGCTGAGGGCCTCTGGTTGACAACTGTCAGCAGGTGACGCTGGTGGACCAAAGCTTCTTTGAACTCTTCTTCGGTTTTTGTTTCCAGAAGCTTCTGCCGGAAGGTAATATCTGAAAACATTGTGGCAAATGTCCGACCCACTTCAGTGGCTGTTTTGGTACTTTTCTGAGGGAGCAAGAACAAGCAAACCAAAAGCGATATCAATGGATAAGGTGAACATCTACATTATGGCCTGAGTTTTATGTTTCATGACCTCTCAACCTCCTTCCCTCTTTGCCCTGAATCTATCAAAAGTGGCCAGCACTGAGAACTGTGGACACTTCAGAGGATCGTGGTGGGCTTTGCCTCCACATACTGTCGGTTAAGGCTATGCAGCATTTCAGATAAGATCTCCAAAAGATGCCTCAGATCATCTCCAGCCAGAATTCTGGGAGTTGAAGTCCACATGTTTTAAAGTTGCCAAGTTTGAGAAACAGTCCTTTAGACTATGTGGCAGCTACAGAGGACAGGCATGAGATCACAGGAAAAGGCACAGCTGTTTGAGAGAATTGCCAACAAGTGCTATATTTGTGCCGTTGTGTGCTTCATGGCAATTTTTGGTGATTATATTGGAAGTCCTGCAAAACAAGACCCTCCTTGAATGTTCTAAGTTAGCATATTAGGCAGAATGTTTTCCTAAATATGCAGGGAGGGAGATGCGAGCCTTTCAAAGTGGTCATATCATTCCAAAACCAGTTCATTTTTCTTCCAGCTTCAAAGATTACTATCCAATTCATTATTTGTAATTTGTGGATCTTGATCTACCATCCTAGATCTGTTAGGACACAGATGTGTGTACAACAGTGACACACACAGACTTAATACACAAATGTGAGAGTTGTCTGTGCAGGGACAACCCATGTGGAGCTCTTTCACTCCTATTTGAATAAGGACTAGCTGGACGTTCTACAAGGGCAAGGAAGATCAACTCACATGGGTCACAAAGAAAGTAAGCATACCATTTTTGGAGGTGCGAGCACCAAAATGACGAATCTCACTTCACAGGAATTCTCTCCCCAGTTCTGGGGTCTTTCAAGCCGGCTGATACAAACGTGACGGCGCTGGAGAGATTTTATAGTGCAACTGTCAAACAAGATAGGGTTATTTCAGCAGGATCAGCCATCTATGGGATGGTTGTGATCATCTTCCAGGAAGGAAGTCAGCTTTAAAGGAAAAAGGGGTTAGCCCTTGTTTCCACTAGCATATGGGCTAGTGAGGACCACCATGGGAGAGCCTCATCATTAGCAGAGAAAAAAACACCACCCTTCCATCAAACACTTATTTCTTACAAGAATGGTGAAGTCACCCATTTAGTCCCCTTGAAAAAAATTAAGAGAAAGTCAACAGAGATGTCAACTGGTTTTTCCTCTCTCTGTGGACATCTGTGTACAAACATGGACATGGTTAACCTTTTTCTCAATTTGGGATGCTTTTTCTAGGTTTTTAATGTTAGGATAACTGAACCTCAAGAATTTCCTCCTCTTTTCAGATGTGTTTGTGTTCCAAGCCCCAGGACTGCACCATGCTGGCTGGGGATTAAGGGAGCAACGGTTGCATCACATCTGGAGGTCTCCACGGTGGAGTCTCTTCTAAAGGACTCAACCGAAAAAATGACAGTTGTGCTAACGAACTGAAAGCATCAAAGAAAGTTCAAATAAATTGTCCCTCTAAGAACAGTCCCAGGTTTGGTAAACACCAACAGAAGTAGAGGGAAAACAGGCCACTGAGAAGCAAGGAGGAAATGCCTGTATGTTTTCAAACCCCCCTTCAAAGGTTTGCAGAAACACCATGGGGTAAGAATGAGTCATTGATTAAGTGCAAAGACGCCTCTCGTTTGAAAATCCTGTTGTGTGTATTAAATAGAGGAGCTTAAATGTGTATTTTTCTTTCCTCTCTTTGTGTTCCCAAGTATCCCTTTAATCCCCCCCCAAACCATGTTCAGACAAGGTATGTGCAGTGATCCACAAGCCTGTGTCTCAAAAATACAAAGCATTTGTCCATCAAACGCTGGCGCTGATCAAAGAAGTTGGATGGGGCTGCAAAATTTGGGCCTAAGCTCACTCGTTCTTTTGCACTGCCTTCTTTATCATGACACCCCCCCCCACCTGCCTCTTAAGCATCCGAACGGGGGATTGCCCAGAGTGTGCCTGGCAGAGACCAGGGACAAAGCATGTATTTCTGCCGCCAGATTGTGTGAGATCCACCAGCCGGGTGCCATCAATTGGTATGTAAGCAAAGCCACATGAGAATCTTCAGCTGGGAAAGGGCTGTTTCTGACTGAGACTTAAGTTACTAGAGGACACAAAATCCAGCAGCAACTGGAAGGCCTGTTTCTATTATGCCGCAAAGAAAAGTAGAAATTGAGAGTCAGGCCAACAGGTTTATCTTTGCCTTTGAGGTCTCTGTGCCTTCTTTTAAGAGAAATTTTTAACCTATCCTAGACAATGGCTTTAAGACCATGAAAGAACACCAAATCTTCCCCTTGTCTACCGATGGTCAGCCACTGACAATGCTTGTGGTGTCACGGGGTCTTGCTCTCTGCATGAAAGAAGCAGATCCCTTGCAAACATCTGGATAAAAACAGATTTCTAGAACCAAGAGGATGTGGGTGGTTTGGACCAGGGTTTCTCAACCTCCGCAACTTTAAGATGTGTGGACTTCAACTCCCAGAATTTCCCCAGTGCTGGCTGGGGAATTCTGGGAGTTGAAGTCCACACATCTTAAAGTTGCGGAGGTTGAGAAACCCTGGTTTGGACTGTGGATAAAATGCCCCAATTTTCAATTGGCCCAGAACGCCAATTGGTTTGCCATCTGTCAAACCAAGTCATTCTAGCTCTGTTGGATCTTCACTGCTTGTCTTTTTGCTTCCTGGTACTGAGTCTGTCCAGACCTTATCCCCAAAGTCCTTCTCAATCCCATTTCCTCCTCGGATATTCTTCTTCCTATTTTTTACTCAGGTCTTGCTCAGCGTTGGCTGCCAAGGGAAGCACAGCAACGAACTATGGTTCCACAAAAGAACATTCCACGCTGTGGCTCTGTTCTCAAAGTTCGCTTGTGGCTGCCTGTCTAGCGGGTTCATTGAAACGTTAAACATGCAAGCTAGGCCTGTCCAAGCACATGTACTACATAAACACCCAGCGTGTTTTAGTAAACCACACATTGGCGTGTCCCACTTGACATCAATTCGTCAGTGCAAGTGAAAAAAAATCTATACGAGATCTGGCTAATGAGACAGGACTTCTGCTAAGCGATTCGTATCGCCATCGATTGTAATCTGCTTCAGAGACCACCACTTGGCTGTGCATAATCAACACGCAAAAACTTTGTTGCATTTCCCCTTCTTACACCAACTTCCATTTATTGCAATTATAGGCAGCGGATAAAAGAGGCGTTTCAATTTCTGGGACTATTAGGGTTATCTGTCAAATTGTCTAGCTTTCTAGATGGTTTTAACTCTCATGTATATTCATCAGCCAAACTGGTGCGGGAAGGAACCGTTTAATGTACTATTTGCAATTCAGTGTTTTGTTCTTTGCATTCACTAAAGCAACTTTTCAATTTTTATTCAATAGCAGTAACATTCATGGGATCTTGGAGAAAAAAAATTATTCTTATTCTTTGGGAAACATTGCGCTCTTCAAAGCACCGTCTTCTACTATCCAATGAAAGATGCGAATGGGTTCTCTTCAATATCCATTTCAACAATTCAGATCTGGCATGACACCATAGCTGAGTGTAAATCTGGAAGTCTCATACTCAGATCTCATTGGATGTATTAAGTGGCCTTAAACCAACTAATTGATCCATCCAATCCCTTACTATCTCAGAAGCTGAGATTTCAGAGTGCTTCATAGCTTTACTAGAGGCTTGCACCCTCACAAGCATGCAGTTGGGACTCAAGAAAGCTGGGAAGGACCCCATAGTGTTGCAAGACGTATTTTCTGCTTGGAAGTTCTCCCGAAAAGCTGAGAGAAAACATGAACTCCCTAGTCCCAGTGAGTTTTGTGTAGAAACTAGGACCCTGACTGAAATCAACATTTTCCTGTACAGTACCCTAATCTTTATGTAGCAATACTCCTCAGATGGAGCATCACTGAAGCACCAACCGACACCTTGTAATAAACTTTGACCACACAAAACAAAATTACAGCATACATATTAAAACAAGAACAGAGAAAAGCCTGACAGAAGAATCAATGGAATCAATAAAAGACAAGCCAATTAAGAAACTAAACAATAAGGAAATTAAACTGACTACATCAGAGATGGAGAACTTGTCGCCTTCACATTGTTGGAGAATTACAGCCTCCAGTGGCCCCAATCATCACAGATGTTGCCATTCAGGAAGACCTCCAAAACCACATGCTGTTCACTTTAGATTAATCAAAGATTTGTTGGAATACAAGGTTTTTATTGATTGTGTGAGAGCCAATTCCCAGGCTGATAAAGGAACTGGCCATTACCAAAACAATAAGCAGATTCAGACTGTCCTACTTTTACAAAACCAGTAGGGATCCTTTCTTTTTCCAGCCCTCTCTACCATAAAAATATAAGAAAATGTTTAAGAATACTCCCTCCTTAATGAACTCCATATAAAGGCATCATATGAAAGTAAAACACTTGCTGGAATTCTTCTGTTGTACCTCTAACCCTTCCCCCCGACCCCCCAATCAATTTTACTAAATAAGAGCTGAAAATCTTGTTCTTTGGGTCCACTGGTTCCAGCCCAGTTTGCTACAAGAGAAATCCAACAGACTGGGGAAAGGGTATGGGAATGGAAACTGCATTAAGGATGGAACTCCAGGTCTTGACAAGGCTTAATAAGAAGGATCTGAAGTGCGAGAGCTAGCTCTCACACTTGTCAGAAGAAAACAACCTGATACCAGATCTGTCCATTACCAAAACAAAGCAGATGGAAACTGGGCTTTCTGCCCAAAAGTGAAGGATGTCCAATCCGTTGCATTGCTCGGGTGAGAGAAAGAGGTGAAAGGATTTGAACATTGCTTTTACTATAAATAGGTCTCTGCATCCATCAGAGCCACTGAAATTCTTTCATAATGGCTTTTTTGCTTTTTTATGATGCAACTCCTTATCAAAGTTCTTGGATTCTTATGTGCCTAAACTTGTTCCATTCTAGCCATTTGAGATACTTTATTTCCTATTCCCAGTTTTGATTATCCAGCCCTGAAAGAATTCAACATTATCAGATGCCACTATTAAACAACGCCTTGTTTGTTGAATCAAACACAACTGGTTGCGCCTGCCAAACCCACTAAACTATAAACCATGATCTACAAACTACAGTGCTTGGGTTTATCCAGCAGACCAAGTTGGGCATTCTACTTTTCCTGATCTGAGGATTACGCTGGGCTGCGCTGAGAATGAGGAAGTTGAAATTTAATTCTATTTCATTTAATTTTAGTTAAAGTAAAACTCAGTTAATACGATCACTGTTCAGTCACATAGGCAGTACTTTCTTCTGCTGTGACATTGAAAACTACAGTTTGGGAACAGGTTTTGGAGGTCTCTGACCCAAGGTTTCCAGGGGCCACAAACTATTCTGGAGTTGGCTTCAGCTTGTTCACATCTGTGTTAAGAAACACCTGTCAGCACAACAAGGAAGCCCAGACTAAGAAGCCAATTCCAGGTAGGTCAGGATTACTTTTATTGTAACAGCTGTAGTAACAGAATCTTCCAAGTCTGAATATGATTCCCCTCTCCCTCACTTTATCTTTGTGAGAATTAGGGAAGGGCCTGTCTGAGATGTGTTCTCAAGTCACCTTCTTGGCCCGGGCTCAAGACCCGCTTATCTAACTGTTGTCTTGGTAGCAGCTCTTCCTCCTGTCTTTCAAGGCCAACCCCTACACCCCCTACAAAACCAAGAAAATGACATTCTAACTCAATGTATGAAAGAAGCTCTTAAATCTGTCTGTACTTCTGTAGCTTTCTACCTTACGTGGAACCATGAAACAAGGTTTCGGAGTGCAGGTACAACGGCCACCCACCTTCCAACATGGTTACATGGCAGCCGTACACATATGTTAATACCCTGGGTCAAAATGCAGAGTATAAATACTATCAAT